TTCCTCATCCTGAGATTCTGTAGGAGAGCTTTCAGGCTCCTTTAAACCACATTGATTTTTTTTTTCCTCATGTGTCTCCAAGAAAAGCTTTAAAGAGAGACGTTTGGTGGCCGGAGGGGAAACCTGAAAGAGTATCAGAGAGACTCGAGCTCAGAGAGAAAAATGCATTTGTTTGCATGTGAGCTGCGAGTTCAGGTGAAAGTGCAGCTAAAAATGAGAATTCGGTCATTGTTTACTCGTCCTCATGGTGATCCAACCCAGTGAGCAGTTACTTTTACTGAAATCTTTCTCCAGGATAAGCTGTTAAAGACTGTATTTCTTTACATTTATAGTGAAGTGTGTGAGGCATCGAAGGGTAAATTTAGTTTCATCTCAGTGTATTCACTTTGTGATCTATTATTAAGATAGATCACTCACCGGCCACTTTATTAGGTACACCTTACTAGTACCGGGTTGGACCCCCTTTTGCCTTCAGAACTGCCTTAATCCTTCATGGCATAGATTCAACAAGCTACTGGAAATATTCCTCAGAGATTTTTTCTCCATATTGATATGATAGCATCACACAGTTGCTGCTGATTTGTCGGCCGCACATCCATAATGCGAATCTCCCATTTCACCACATGCCAAAGGTGCTCTATTGGATTGAGATCTGATGACTGTGGAGGCCATTTGAGTACAGTGAACTCGTTGTCGTGTTTAAGAAACCAGTCTGAGATGATTCACGCTTTATAACGTGGTGCATTATCCTGCTGGAAGTAGATGGGTAGACTGTGGACAGGTGTACCTAATAAAGTGGCCAGTGGGTGTATTTTGGTTGTTTAGAAAAAGCTTCTTGATTTAGGAATTCATTTGGACTAAAAACAAGACAAAAACTTTAAATACGAAAAGCATGTTCGCAGCGCATCAACATCAGTAATCAGGACCCCCAAAAAATTGCTAATTTTTTGGAAAATAGACATTTATACACCAACCAAAAGCTGAATAAATAGAATTTTTTCATTATTAATGTATGGTTTGTTAGAGAAAGACAATATTTTGCTGAGATACAGCTGTAGATTCTTTCAAAAGTGTGCAGTGTGATAAAAGTATCTACAATCCTCCCTCTTACATGTGTCTTGCTACTCTAAAACGCTCCATCATCTCCCACATGATCGCTTTCAAGGATGTGACAATACATGCTAGGCAGCCATTTCTTTCGGATTAGGCTTTCGTGATGGAGATTGAGGGAGCAGAGGTTCATGAATTACGTGCGCGATGGAGTCGACGGCTTGTTATTGTTCGGGCTTGTTTGGAGATGAGTTGGTGATAAAACAAGGAGCACAGAGAGTAATCTGCAGCTGTTGAAATCTCCCGAACTGGGTTAATTGCTCTGGGATGGGGAGAGAACATGGATATCATTAAAAGACTTTCTGTTTCGTAACGACTCACTCACCACACCTGTGTTTGCTGTGCTGTTTGGTGCGAAATCATGATGTCTGATGGGGGAATTCATCAGAGAGAAACATTCATCTGATGCTTTACCTGGGTGTATTTGAAAACGCCAATCATAAGAGATGATATCAAGAGTCGTATCTAGCAAGATTGCAATATCTGCCATCTGCACCTCGAGGGGAACATCTCCTGCACTTTTACATGATGGAAAGCGTCAGGATCAGTTGATTGTAGCGCCGTTGGTGGATCATAGAATTGAAAGCAGCAATATTATATGTTTGTTTAGCAAAAAAGTTGGGAAATAAATAGATTTTAAGATCTTCGTTAAGGCTTGAGGAACTTAATGGACCAAGCAATGTAGAAATTTGAACGCACCAAAAGCAACCCAACAAGCCTTTTAATATCTTCACTATAGTTTCTAGACACGCCCCTATCAGCTGATTGGCTTCAATTGTTTTGGGATTTGCTCGAATACAAAGTACCAAAACAAACATGCCCAAAACCCAAACAAGACCACGCCCCCTTTGAAATCTCCACTATTGTTACAAGACACGCCCCTATCTGCTGATTGGCTTCACTTGTTTTAGGATTTGGTCGAACACAAAGCACCAAAACAAACCTGCTTATAATCAAACAAGACCACGCCCCCTTTTGAAATCTCCACTATAGCTACTAGACATGCCTCCTCCTGCTGATTGGCTGCAAATGTTTTGGGATTTGGTCGAACACAAAGCACCAAAACAAACCTGCCCAAAACCAAACATGACCAAGCCACCTTTGATATCTCAACTATAGTTACTAGACACGCCCCTATTAGCTGATTGGCTTCAATTGTTTTGGGATTTGCTCGAATACAAAGTACCAAAACAAACACGCCCAAAACCAAACAAGACCACGCCCCCCTTTAAAATCTCCCCTATTGTTAATAGACACGCCCCTATCTTCAGATTGGCTTCAATTGTTTTGGGATTTGGTCGAACACAAAGAGCTAAAACAAATGTGCTCATAACCCAACAAGAACCCCACCCCATTTGATATCTCCTTTATAGTTACAAGACACACCCCTTACTGTTGTTTAGCTGCAATTTTGTTTTGGGATTTGGTCCAACACAAAGCACCAAAACAAACCTGCTTATAATCAAACAAGACCACACCCCCTTTGAAATCTTCGCTATAGCTACTAGACATGCCTCCTCCTGCTGATTGGCTGCAAATGTTTTGCGATTTGATCGAGCACAAAGCACCAAAACAAATACGCCCAAAACCAAACAAGACCACGCCCCCTTTGAAATCTTCCCTATTGTTAATAGACACGCCCCTATCAGCTGATTGGCTTCAATTGTTTTGGGATTTGGTCGAACACAAAGAGCTAAAACAAATGTGCTCATAACCCAAATAGAACCCCGCCCCATTTGATATCTCCTTTATAGTTACAAGACACGCCCCTTACTGTTGATTGGCTGCAAGTATGTTTTGGGTTTTGGTCTGAAGCAAAAAAACAAAACAAACCCGCAGATAATCCAAGTAGTCCCCACCCCATTTGATATCTCCATTATAGTTGCAAGACACACCCCTTACTGTTGTTTGGCTGCAATTTTTGGGGGGGATTTGGTCCAACACAAACATGCCTCTAATCAGACAAGACAACGCACCTTTTGACTTCTTTACTATAGTTCCTAGACACAACCCTTACTGATGATTGGTTGTAAGTGTGTTTTTGGATTTGGTTCGAAACAAGGAACCAAAACAAGCATGCTCAAAACCCAACAAAACCCCGCCCATTTTTATATCTTCACTAAAATTACTAGACACGCCCCTTACTGCTGATTGGCTGCAATTTTGTTTTGGGATTTGGTCCAACACAAAGAACCAAAACAAGCACGGCCATCACACATCAAGACTCCGCCCATTTTAATACCTCAACTATAGTTACTAGACACACCCCTTACTGCTGATTGGCTGTAATTTATTCGAAGGATTTGGTCCAACAAAAAGTATCAAAACAAATACACCCACAACACAACAAGACCCTTCCCCTTTCGAATATATAATGCCCCTGCTGATTGTCTCCAAGTGTTTTGGGATTTGGTCTGACACAAAGAACCAAAACAAACATGACCAGAACCAGTGGCGCAAAAAGGGGGTATGCAGTATATGCGGCGCATAGGGGCGCCACACACGGGGGGCGCCATTGTGCCAAAACTATTTTTGAAATTATCCATATTAAAAGTTTCAAATAATATATATTTTTTTTGCTAAAAATGTTTATTTAGCATTTTATAAGTGTATAATATTGTATTTTATCAAATAAAAAAAAATCATTCCACCCCTCCCCCCGTTTTTCATACCATATACATGTTTTTATGAATTTATTATGTATCATATTTATTCATCAGGCCTTTTGGGAACTTCTTAGCTCAAAACTATTTTAATTTTAGCTACAAACAAAGTTATAACATTTCAATTAAATAGAACATTTCACACAGTTTGTTTCTGTTTTTTTACACTAAACATTTGACAGTCTTTTTTATTTTGCTTTTAGCAGTTTCAGTCAATTGTTCTTGCAAAGACAGGCCTTACACTTCTCACAGTATGCATGTGAAAAGTAATTGCAATGTTCTTTTGCCCTTTAGGACTACCATGTCTATCATTTTGTTTTGACAAATGTAGTACAAAAAGTCCAAAAGCAAGGCTAGTCAAGGTGCTATAATCATTTAGTGAGGGAAAATTAAATTGAGAAGAAATTTGGGGTGGTATGAGATTGCGACTTAACATGCTTAATGTAATTATACCTTTTACTACTTCATACTGTTTCAGTTGTGTTCAGAAATGCGAAACTGTATTTTTGAAGCATATTGATATCTTTATGAAAAAATATCTTTAATTTATTGATGGAAATATTTCCACATTTTATCACTTGCCTGTTATAAAATATAGTTGGATTGAAGGGGGGGGGGGCGCAAAAGTTGAAGCCGCATTCCCATCAGTAAATGTGCAGTTGCGTCCCTGACCAGAACCCAACATGACCATGCCCATTTTTATATCTCACCAATAGTTACTTGACACACAAAGAAACATTCACCTACTGCTTCACCTGGACTTATTTGAAAACGCCAATCAGAGATGAGATCAAGAGGGGTGTGTAGCAAGATTGCAGTTTCTGCCATCACTTCATTCAGATGCACCTCAAGGGGAACATCTCCTGCACTTTTACATGATGGAAAGCATCAGGATTAATCGATTGTGGCTCCGTTTGTGGATTATAGTGTTGAAACCCACACTTTTTTGTTCCACTAAATGCACAGAGGCGTAGTTTTGTAGGGAGAGGCTGAGTAAATGACGACCAGATTGTCAATACTGAACAGTGTTCCTCTAAGTAATTGAAGCGGCTTGACATTAACCCAATTAAACTTTGGTAGCCCGGTTTAAGCGTCTTATGGCGACGTCAGGAATGGCTAATCTGGTTTCGTCTGTATTTGGATCTGTCAGCGCAGATGTGAGGCGTGTTGTCCTTACTGTCTGGTGTCTCCTAATAAGGCCCAGATGGACAGACGTGAGACTCTTACCAGGCTTGAGTTTTCCTCCTGGGCACGTTCTGTCTGCTCCACTTGGAGTGAGGAGTGAGGTGATAAATCAGCTGCCTGCAGATCTTCTCTGAGGACTTCAGAGCATCAGCCTCCTGAAAAACAGAGGAGAAGCGGGATGAAGAGCTGAATGCACCAAAACAAACACGCCTATAGCCCAATACGACCCCGGCCCTTTGAATTTCTCCACTATAATTACTAGACAAGCACTTTTCTGCTGATTGGCTGCAAGTGTGCTTGGGGTTTGAGTGCTGAAAGGTGCACTAAGCAATAATTGAAAACACTTTAATTAGCTATCATTTTATTTAAGTTCCTATCTGGATATAGGATATCTGGAAATATATAATGATGTCTAATATATTAAAACATACAGGGGTTGGACAATGAAACTGAAATGCTTGGTTTTAAAGCACAATAAATCAATAATACGGTGTAGGAACTCCTTCTGCAACCAATACAGCATCAATTCGTCTTGGGAATGACAGATACAAGCTCTGGCCAGAGGGATTGTGGTGCTGGTGGAGGAAAAAATTTCCTGACTCGCTCTTCCAAAACACCCTAAAGTGGCTCAATAATATTTAGATCGGGTGACTGTGCAGGCCATGGAAGGTGTTTAACTTTCATGTTCATCAAACCATTCTGTCAGCAGTCTTGCTGTGTGTATAATATACATGGCACTGCTTTCAGGATACAAGTTTGACCCATTGGGTGCACATGGTTCTCCAGAATGGGTCAATAGTTCTTGGCAGAGAAGCACCCATCATTGGGTCTAGGGTAGGGGTCTTAAACTCAAACTGGCGAGGGGGCCGTTTCAGTGACTGACAATTCATAGGAGGGCCGCGTTAACATTCAAGCACAAGAAAAAATTTGAAACCTGATATAATTGATGCATCTTAGGACATCCAGCTCGCATCTCAGCCTGCCTGTCAGACATCTCACACTGGATTAGAGATCATCATCTTCAGCTTAACCTCACAAAAACAGAAATGCTTGAAGTTTCTGCCAACCCGACTCTACATCATAACTTTTCAATCCAGATGGATGGGTGAACCATTAATGCATCCAAAATGGTGAAAATCCTTGGAGTAACGATTGATGACCAACTAAACTTCTCTGACCACATTTCTAGAACTGCTCGATCTTGCAGATTCGCACTCTATAACATCAGAAAGGTCGGAACCCTTCCTATCTGAACATGCAGCTCAACTCCTTGTTCAAGCTCTTGTTCTCTCCAGACTGGACTATTGCAACTCTCTACTAGCCGGGCTTCCAGCTAACTCTATCAAACCTCTTCAGCTGCTCCAGAACGCAGCAGCACGAGTGGTCTTTAATGAACCTAAAAGAGCACATGTCACTCCGCTGCTCATCCGTTTGCACTGGCTGCCAGTTGCTGCTCGCATCAAATTCAAAGCTCTGATGTTTGCTTACAACGCGACTTCTGGCTTTGCTCCTTCTTATCTACTCTCACTTCTGCAGATCTATGTGCCCTCCAGAAACTTGCGTTCTGTGAATGAACGTCGCCTCGTGGTTCCATCCCAAAGAGGGAAGAAATCACTTTCCCAAACTCTCGCATTAAATCTGCCCAGTTGGTGGAATGAACTCCCTAACTGCATCAGAACAGCAGAGTCACTCGCTGTCTTCAAGAAACGACTAAAAACTCAATTAGTCTCCACTTTCCTTCCTAATCTGCAATAACCTCTCTGGCTCCACCGTTAACTGTACTCAAAAAATAAATAAATAAATAAATAAATAAAATTACTAATGTTCTGTGTCTTACACTTTGCATACCTGAAACTTGCATACAGCACTTATTCATTGTTGCTCTTATAGTTGTGTAAATTGCTTCCTAGTCCTCATTTGTAAGTCACTTTGGATAAAAGCATTTGCTAAATGACTAAATGTAAATCAGCACGTTTATCACGTCACACATCAGCTGTTGAAATATATCTGTGGTTGTTGTGTATGGCCGAGCATTAGACACACACTCAGTTATTCTTTTACAGTGTATATGCAGTCAAAACTCGAGCTTTTTGTTTCTTGTACATATTGAGGGGGGAGTTTAAATTGTTGTGAAAATACTACAAATAATCATATCTCGGTATTTTAAGGATGAATGACGGTATACGATATAGATCCGGTATTTTCCCAATAAATGGTTGCTTGAGAGTCAAAGCCTTTATTAAAACTTTGTTAAACAGTTTTTGAGCAAAATATAATTCAAAAACAAGGGTTTCCCTTGCTGTTATTATCATCATTATAACTATCATTCTTATATTGTTATTTGTTGAAAGAGTAGCTAACAGCAATTAATAGCGATAATAGCGTTGCACAGACGTATAGCACCGATGTGCTCACACCGGTGAGCACCGATGTGCTCACAGCGACCTGAGTTCAATTCCCGGCCGATCCTTCCCCTCTCTCTGCTCCCAATGCTTTCTTGTCTAAAATCTCTACCGTCCTGTCATAATAAAGGTGAAAAACCCATAAAAAATAATTATAAAAAAATAAATAAATAAACAAAACAATATGTCTTTTGACTGCTTTCTTTAATAACTACATTACACAATACTTGTACTTTTACTTTTAGTACTTGGGTAGTAAATTTGATATATACTACTTGCAATACTTAAATACAAAAAATGTTGAATACTTTAGTACTTCCCCTTAAGTACGGTGCTTAAAGAGCACTTCAACTTCTACTCAAGTCACTTTTTTGATAGAGCACTTATACTTTTACTTAAGTCTGGGTTTCTAGTACTTTATTCATTGTTGGAGAAAAGTAATTTATTTTTATTACTTTTGTGTTTTTATTTATTAGAAGAATGCTTAGACTAACAACAGATTAATCAATCTTTTCTATTGTATTATAACACATCTTGACCAGACACACTTGACCAGACACACAAGAATAAGTGTGGGGGCCTTTGTTTAATATAAAGTCTAGACATGTCACAAGTTGTCATGATGCTTGTAGAAGTTGTGAAATATATTAAAGATGCATGTAATTGTTCAGTTCTGGTATGCAGAGAAGGGTTGCAGAAAGAGGAAGTATGTCTAGGGGTTACAAAGAGCCAAAGGACTGCAGAATGACTGATAAGTGACGTTAAACCAAAACTCCACCGGTTAATATCAGTTGTGTATATATGCTGGAGTCAGGAAATGTATGTTAGTTGCAAACCTCTTGTAGTAATTCTTGTAGTGCATTGGGGTAATTTAACCCAGAGCTCTGTCATCGAATTATTCATTTGTATCTAATAAATTACTAATATTTTTGGCATTGAAGAAAACACTCTCCAGACCTTTTCTTATTGAACACGCATGGAATTGCAACCCAGGCTCATTCTGAAAACGTAGTCCTGCGGACGTTTCTGGAGACCGCGAAATACGTCCCGGGAGGTACGTATTTGTGCAGTTTTTGTTTTCGCGAATCCGCGAGAGCCCGCTGTGTGCGCTTTTTCATATCTGGAACGTCTCTCGCGAGTGCCATTCACGCCCGCGCTGTTCTCGCGTCAACCCACCAGAGGCTGCTGTCTGACTGACCGAATGATTGACTGCGCGACCGGCCAATCGGCTGACCCAACCTCCTCCTTCCCTAAACCCAACCAGTTTTACCGATTGACCTGCGCGCCCGCTCACTTCCCTAAACCCGAGCAACAATTTAGAAAAGCCGTCTAGAAAAAGAAAAACCCTCGTCTGTTTGTCGGATTTCACCGCGTTCTCACCCTGTTATGAACTCGTTTGCTTTATTTTTTGGATTCTCGAACTCGGACTCGAACCCGGACGCCTTTGTCAACTCCTCCTCTCTGCATCTGAAGTCCGCCGACGCACATGATGAGCTGACCGGACAAACTGACTGCAGCGTGAAAGCCCTCCACACAGAGGTAAGCGGTCAGCCGGCAAGCGCAAAGGGAACGGCGTCACACCGCTCCATAGCGTTCGCTTAAAAAAATTAAATGCAGCCATACGTACCTCCCGGGACGTATTTCGCAGTCTCCAGAAACGTCCGCTGGACTACGTTTTCAGAATGAGCCTGGGTTTTAGAATTGACTAGATATTCCAACATCTCTGGTAATTTCCACATATCAAAGTTATGTATAAGTTGATCAATGCTTTTAAGTCTCAGGACTTGTTTGTGTGTGTTTTTTTTTTTTTTGTAAAGTGACAGACATGATTGATAACGCCAGCTCACTGTTAAAACAATCACAATCTTATCACAGGTGATAAATATCACACACATCCTATTTTGCTTCAAGTCATTCATGAACTGCAGGCCTGAAACAGTCTCGAGGCCTTCGCTCAGCGACGCCTGCATCCATTTCTGCATCAAAACAGGCTTTGGCTCGGCTCTCCTTTCTTAAACGGATTGGCCAGAGCAGAGCTGAGCAAATCTAATCAGTGCTACAGCACAACAATGCGAGCAAAGCAAGAAAAACACAAAAGCCATCGACTGGAGTCAGCAAGCTAAGAAATGAAAGCAACTAAACATCTCAGTGGCCTCTTGATGGCTATTAAGTCAAAAACAAAGACGTTTGTTGAATCTCTATCGTATATTAAACTGGTCTCTGAGAGTGACAGCAATTATCGGACTTCTTTTATTGAACGGCCTTAATAAAGATGCTGTTGGTTCGATGATGTTGCGCTCCTGAGAGAGTTTTATTGTCGGAAAGATTTACGCGGACTCTCAATCAGCAACTGAACATTAAGACATTAACTATACGCAACTGCCACAGTTTAATGAAAAACTGTCAATTGCAAGACAGCGAAATGAAAAATACCAACTATGCACAGAAAACAAAAGCTCATCAAAATGCCTTTCCATATTTCCCATGAACGCCATCATGAATAACTGCTGCGACTCACTCCTGTGAGTTAAAACTTCGTTAGATGCTGGCGTACTGGGACACACATTATACTGATTACATTCTGATGCTAGTTTAAAAGCGTACATCGCTAATATACATGCTAGCAACACAGATAATGTTAAACCAGAGATGGACCACACGCAGATGTGATGCTTTAAGATTCGCTTTCATTCATTTTTCGGCTTAATCCCTTTAATAATCTGGGGTTGCCACAGCATATGTTTTACAGAGAG